GCGGTCCACAACCACAAAGATGGAATCGAACCCCCGCTGAGTACGAGGCAAACCGACAACAAAGTCCATGCTGACGGCACTCCAAGGCTGAGTAGGAATCAGTAAAGGCCGATAGAGGCCCGCATTAGTCGACCCGCCCTTGGACACCTGACAAATACGACAACGTTCGACAAAACGACACATCCCGCCGCAAAGAAGGCCAAAAGAAGGAACGATGGACCAACTCCACCGAACGGTCCCGACCGAGGTGACCGACCCCATGTAAGTCGCCCACCAGCTTCAGGCGAAGACTACTATCAGGGATACACAAACGAAGACCCCGAAAAAGGAAACCATCAAGCAACACATAATCCTCAAACGGGCCCGACGCAAGGCGAGTAATAACGGGACCAAAGAAAGGATCCGAAGCATATAAGTCACGAAGGACATCAAAACCAACAACACTAACACGTAAATCTGACAGCACCAGGGCGCGCCGACTAAGGGCATCGGCCACCCGATTAGAAGCCCCCGACCGGTGTCGGAGGACGAATGTGAATTGCTGTAAGAAAGAAGTCCACATGGCATGGCGAGAAGAGATGTTGTCCTGAGAGGCCAGATGACGAAGAGCTTTATGATCGGAAAATAGAACAAACTCCCGGTGAAAAAGATAGTGTCGCCAATGCTGGACTGCTCGATACACAGCATAAAACTCAACGTCATAAGTACTATATCGAAGCCGCGGGCCAGAAAGCTTCTCGCTAAAGAATGCGACCGGACGTGACTCCTGGCTAAGAACCGCACCAATGCCGACTTTAGAAGCATCACACGAAAGCTCAAATGGACGAGAAAAGTCGGGTAAAACCAACACAGGAGTCGAAGTGAGACGCTCCTTGATCAGAGCAAAGGCCGCGGCTGCCTGGGGAGTCCAAGCGAATGACTTCCCCGCAATACAGTCAGTGATCGGGGCCATGAGAGAACTAAAATGACATATGAAGCGACGGTAGAAGGATGCGAGCCCATGAAAGCTGCGGGCCTCGGTAACAGTCGTAGGTGTCGGCCAGTCTCGGATGGCTGCAACCTTGCCGGCATCCACTCGAATACCATCCGCTGAAACAACAAAACCCAGAAAAAGAACCGAATCCACCAAAAACACACACTTGTGCGGGGCAGCATAAAAAGACTCAGCACGAAGAATAAGAAGTACCTCTCTCACGTGGCCCAAGTGCGCCTCCAAAGAATGGCTATAGATAAGTATGTCGTCGAAATAAACGACTACACACTTACCGATAAGATCCCGCAATGCCTGGTTCATAACGCGCATAAAAGTGCTCGGTGCATTAGATAGACCAAACGACATAACCAATCACTCGAAAAGGCCCTCGCGAATCTTAAAAGCAGTCTTCCACTCATCCCCCGGGCGAATATGTATCTGATGATAGCCACTCCGAAGATCGAGCTTGGTAAAAATGATGGCACCGTGTAACTGGTCTAACAGATCGTCCAATCGAGGAATAGGGAACCGATAGCGGATCGTAATCTTATTGATGGCACGGCTGTCCACACACATTCGCCACGAACTATCCTTATTCGGAATCAATAAGGCAGGGACAACCCAGAGACTGAGGCTACGGCAAACCACGCCCTTCTGCAAAAGCTCCTCGACCTGTCTGCGTAACTCCTCATGCTCAGCAGGGCTCATACGATAATGTGGTCGGTTAGGAAGGACTGCTCCGGGCACCAAATCAATGTGGTGCTGAATATCTCGTAATGGTGGCAACCCGGGAGGCAACTCAGAAGGAAAGACATTGGTGAACTCATCTAATAACGGCTGAATAGCTGTCGGTGTCGTGGTACTGTCAGGGGACTCGGTATGTAAAAGTAATAGAACAACGGGTGCCTCACGCATTTCCTCCTCAAAAGCCGACCTCGAGAGGAACAAAACTGGAGAAGTCGCCTTCGGAGGCAAAGGACGAGGGTGCGCCGTCTGCAAAATCATCTTAACACCGTCAAAAGTGAACGTATAGTGTTAAGACGACCATCATAAATAACAGATCTGTCAAAAAACCATGGCCGTCCCAACAGCAAGTGGCAGGCATCCATCGGGACCACGTCGCACCAAACCTGATCACGATAAGATGCTCCAATAGAGAAAGAGACCAAGACCCGATGGTTAACAGTTACTCCACTTCCACGGTTGATCCATGCTAAAGTGTAAGGACGCGGATGTGGCTCTGTGGTCAACCGAAGCTTGGACACGGCCTCCTCAGCTAAAACATTTTCACAAGACCCTGAGTCAACGACAAATCGACACACACGATCACCAATAGTTCATGTGGACTCGAACAATTGATGTCGCTAGCTGGAAGAGTCCGAATCGCCATGTGGAGCCAAACAAGAACGCCGTAACACAAGGCACGTGCCGACATCACCACTATGAACCTCAACAGGCTCCAACGGTTCTGTATCAAACACAGGCGGTCCATCATATGCGAACTGGTCATCGTGGTCACCATCCCCGTCAACAAGTAACTGTCTGCCTCCAGCTAAACGAGGACACGAGGACTGGCGATGGCCCACCTCACCACAAGAAAAACAACGGAGACAACCACCCGAGCGAGGACCCACCTGCGCACCCGCCGTGCCGGAGGAACTCCCCGGCGCCGGATTGCCCACGCGGCTGCCTCCCGGACCGGCTGATGCTCCTAGCCCGGATGCTGGTTTTCCCGGGCCGGTTGGCTGAGTGGTAAACCGGTTCGTCGAAGAGAAAGCCGAAGCGGTCCGTCGTGCCAATTGTTGTTCGGCCATGATAGCACGTTGATGAGCCTCAGAAAGAGTACCCGACATGAACATATTAACGGAATCCTGAATCGGAATACGAAGCCCACTAATATACCAGAAAATCAATTGCCCAGTGGTCTCCCAGCTATCAATGCGAGTAAGTACTGTAAAACTCTTCAGTATAATCATCAACCGAACGGTTACCTTGACGAAGTGTTTGGAATTTTTGATACATAACACTATCATAATTAAACGGCACAACTTCCTCCTCCATAAGTCTACGAAATTTACCCCAAGAAGTGATAGGAGATTTACCTAATCGATGCCGCCGTTGTTCGAGTTGAGTGCACCAAGCCGCAGCCCGACCACGCAATCGCATCGCTGCCAGGTCGACTCGACGATTGTCGGGCACTTGTTTGAATTTAAATGCCCTCTCCACCGCAGCAATCCAGTCGAGAAAGTCGCCGGCGTCCAGGCCGCCCGAGAACTCCGGCAAGTTGACGCGAAATCCGGCCTAACGCGAGTCGCAGCCCTCCGCCGCACGTCGCTGGCCACGGAAATCGTCCCAGCCATCGTCCTCGTGGTGCGCGCCGTTCCAGCGGTCGTCGTCACCGTCTCGTCGGTCGCGTCGAAAACCGAAAGGGTTGGTTTCCGACTGTGTGTCGTCCCCGCTGTCCTGACCGTGTGGCGAAGGTGGTGATTGATGACGGCGCGCACCGCCAAACCCCCTTCCTCCACGTCCGCCGCGATCCCCGCCGCGACCCCCCCGGCCTGCCGGGTCGCGGTCTGCACCTTCCCGAGCCATCAACATCCGCATCGCCGACCGGATTTCCTCGACACCTTCCGAAAGCCCTTCGACCTTGCGATCAACCCGTTCAATTTGAAACCCTTGATCATCGGTTCTTCGATCTAAGTCCTCCAAATGAGCATCACGTCGGCCGTTGTCATTTCGTTTTTTGGCGGCATCTTGAATCAGTCTGACTCTGGATACCAACTGACGCAGTAGGAAACGTACGAAGGGAACAATATGAATTCTCTGATGGAACTCAAGAGATAAATTTTATTTAATCGTAAAAAACCAAGTCTACAATGAGAACTCTCGTTTCTTTAGTAGACTCCCAAACCCTAACTTATTTTAAACAATAAATATCTAAACATAGGAAATAAATAAAAAGGCTAAAAATACTAAATAAATAAATAACTAGATACGAAGGCGGTCGAACTTGTCCAAGTACGCCAATGCGATCTCGTCGCCATCAAGTAGATGATTACGTGAGATTATGAGTTTGTAGCTAAATAATATTTAAAATGTAATGATTAAAGTTTATGTGATGTAAAAATAGGAGACTAAAAGTGATATGTAGTTAAAATTATGTGAGTGTAAAGTTAATGTAATGTGTAAAGATAATTGATTAATATTATTTAATTATATTGATCACATTGATGAAATTTAGATTAAATTGGATTTTGAGTAAAATATATAAAACAAAACAACTCAATCGATCAAACCGATTAAAACGATCTTGTCTCATATCCAAATGCGCCCTTAATAATTTAAATTATACTATGAAATATGTTTTTTGATAAATAGCAAGTCCTAATAGCAAAAATTAATAAAACAATATCATTGGATATAGCAAAATTTATATAGGTTTCCCAATATAAGACATAATCCTACATGTCAAAATTTTAATTTCAAGTTGATACTTAGTTAGATTCCATTTTCATTATTATTCCATTTTTTCTTGATCAATCAATCTAAGTACTCAAACCTCCCTTTGTAATAAACTCTTGTATACATCAACATGTGTACATCTCATCATAATTAATTTGAATTAGTACTATGTTTTATCAACACACGAAACCTCACGAGACGCTCCTTCACGCAACATTAAAATGCATTTGGTTTTCCCATTTAGCGTGTCTCACATTTTTGTCGTCGCCAAAGATTGAAAAGAAGCTATTACAACAACGTAGCACCACTCTCTCTACCTACAAAAGGACAAAATATTGAAGACACCCAAAATTAAGTATGGCCATAGACTTTCACGTGCTGCAGCACGTGCTGCCTCTTTTATCTTTTTCTTGTTTTCGTCACATTCGTTCACTCCAAATCAATAAGCACGTGTTTCTCACTTCGCGAAAAGCTAGCCATTCAATTGGCTCTAATTCATAACAACCCCCAAACAATAAATATCCACTATATAATTTTAATATTAGACTACAATTTTTCTCTCTTCTTTTCAATTTTTTTTTTTTAAGTTGAATAATTAAATTTTCCCTTATTTTACATATATAATATTGAGAATCTTGAAAATGGAAATTGATTTTCTGGGTCTCAACTCATCAACAACAGCCAGGCCTTCTGACAATATAGAGGAACAGTATGGTTTTAAGGATGCTGCAATATTCTCCGCAGGTAATTAAAGGTGTTGGGATATTATTATTATTATATGCTGTGTATATTTAGTACTATTGATACTGATTTTATCCCAATGTTATTAACTATTTTTTTTTTTAATACAAATTTGGTTTATTTATTGTTCTTCTCGCAGCGAATTTGGGAGTTGAGACATCTTTGTCTCTTAGTACGGCTCCTTCACTTTCTTGCAAAACGGAGATCCTAAATTTCTCCGAGGTATTTTATTTTAATTGTAATTCTTTTTATTCAAATTTATTTATTTTTCATAAACTAATTAAGTGTTAACAATTTTATTTGTTTGTGTGTGTGTGTTTTGTGGTGGTGGGTCACAAAAGAAAAAGGAAAAGAAATTGGCTGAATTCTACTATCTCAACCATACATCGACCCAGTTAAGGTAATTATTAGATCTCGTGTTACTTTTTTGCTTTTTGCCTAAATCTCCTAATTATATATGTTCATTGATAAAACAATATATGTTTGAAGTGTAGGTTATTTTATTTTGATTTGATAATCCGAATTATTTTATTGACACATAGTCATATATGATGTATTGATAATTTGATACTCTATGTATCCGTACAGGTCGAAAGAATCATCCGTACAGTCATTGCTAAAGAAAATTCAAATGTCTTTGTTTTGTGATTATTAAATATTTATAACTAGGAGGACTTTTTTCATAATACCAAATTCTATATGTAATAGCTAATAGGTAATAATTTACTGCTGAGATTAGAAGAATTGAATCCTTAAAATTTGTCCATTTTTAGGAAAGCATCTCAAATTCCAGCTGAGGCTGCTTTAATATCCATGATCACCGACAATTTACAAGAAAAGGTACTCCTTTTTCTGAAAAATCAAATCTTGCCCTTGTGGCAGCTTTACCACCGTACGATCTACACACGTGTGTACGATCGTGTGGTAACAAGCGATTCTTATGCTTTCATGAATCATTAATTCTCATTACGTTCTTTTGTAATAATAATAATAATAATAATAATAATAATAATAATAATAATAAGTATATAAAAACAATATAAGAAAACCTAGGTACCTTAATTTATTTTTCTTTTAATTTCCAAGAACAGGCTGCCCCCAGACTTTCTGATCATGCAAGAATCTGCCGCACAATACCTGGTAAACATTTTTCCCTCCAATTTTTGGGATAATAAGAAATGTTGTT